AACATCTTTGGTCGACCATGGCGAGGCCTGTTCTGAGTGGAACCTGTCCTGTTAAACCGCTGTATGGTCTTGGCCACCGTGCTGCAGCTCAGTTTCAGGGTCTTGGCTTCTTATAGCTTCTTATAGCCTACGCCATCTTTATGTGGAGCAACAATTCTTTTTTTCAGATCCTCAGAGAGTTCTTTGCCATGAGGTGCCATGTTGAACTTCCAGTGACCAGTATGAGAGAGTGAGAGCGATAACACCAAATTTAACACACCTGCTCCACATTCACACCTGAGACCTTGTAACACTAATGAGTCACATGACACCGGGGAGAGAAAATGGCTAATTGGGCCCAATTTGGACATTTTCACTTAGGGGTGTACTCACTTTTGTGGCCAGCAGTTTAGACATTAATGGCTGCGTGTTGAGTTATTTTGAGGGGACAGCAAATTTACACAAGCTATACAAGCTGTACACTCACTACTTTACATTGTAGCAAAGTGTCATTTCTTCAGTGTTGTCACATGAAAAGATATAATAAAATATTTACAAAAATGTGAGGGTGTACTCACTTCTGTGAGATACTGTATATGCAGTCAATCTTTTAGCATAATGTTATTCATACTGTAATTCATTTCATGCACTTTGATTTTTGTCCTGAATGACACCCAACATAGTAACAATTGACATGACCTGTCCAAACAACAGATAAAGAAATTAAGAAGTTGTTGCAGCTACTGTAGATATGGAGATATGTAGACAGACCGATCAGATTTACACTTCGAAGTAATCAAAATTTTATTTCAAGTTTACTCTATTTTATTCCATTTTAAATGGTCTTGTCATTTAGCTCTTTAAATAAGTATGACATTTTAGGATCTGCATTTTCAAACTACCGTGACACAGACTGAATGTTCTGAAACCTCTGGCTGCCTCACAAACAATTTAGATAACAATAAATGTGTTGTATATACAAATAAACAAAGTAACAGCATGAATCCATCACCTCATATTTACAACTCACCGTTCATTCTGAAATTCCAGATGAAACGGTTTAGCAAACGACATGAATCCCGGTTGTGTAGGTCCCCAAAAGTATCAGATTAATGCCAAAAGATGTTTAACAACACTGTTTACATTTTGGGTCGTTCTCCATAGTTTCACTTGCAGAGCAGTTAGACGTTACAGTACAAACGAGGCCTAGCTTAGACAACTCTAGCAGTTTTTTAAAGCCGTTTAATGCATCACAACTATGAATATTCTGTTTATGAAGTACCGTATCGTAAGGGTTTACTGTTTAGCATGAGTGAACTGTTTCTACCGAGTTAAACTGTATCGTTGTGCTAACGAGAGCTCGCTAATGCCGCTGTACGGCGCTCGTGTCAGTCACATGACATTGCCCTGGTTTCACGTGACAGCAACATTGTCACGTGGGTCATACCTAAATAGACTAATAAATAATTCAAACAATTATAAAGAAAACTATTTTGAAGTCGAATATACGTCAGTGGATTCTGAAAGTCTGATTTAATGGGACAGTTCAAACAAACATGACAACTCCGTCATCGTTTACTCACCCTCGTGTCGTTCCAAACCTGTGTGACTTTATTTCTTATGAGAAACACAAAAGGAAATGTTTGGCAGAATGTTGGGAACCGACAACTTCCGTCACCTTCACGTTCATTTTTTCGTATAATGACAGTAAATGTTGACTGAGACTATCATTGTGCCTAACAGATCAATTTGGGGGGATAAAATGTCATACATTGGAGAATTTTTTTTTTTTAAATGGGTGAACTATCCTTTTAAGAATTTATTACATAAATGTCATGCAAGTATATTTACAAACTGTAAGACTTCATAATTGAAGTAACACATTTTAATTTAACAAAGATACAGCATAAATGTGTACTGGGTTTGCATTGTTAAAAAAAATGTGTAAGAGTGACCTTTTGGACAAAGTATGGTGAAAATTGTTTCGAATATTTTATCAATACTATTATCGCAGATAATTCTTACATCTAAATAACATTGAGATGATCACTTCTGACAGTCAGATACCATCCTGTGTTCAAGTTCAAGTCCTGTGTCCATTATTAGTGCATCCAGCAGTTATGACAGTTTTATCCAGTCTGGACAGAGTAATGGTGAGACGATGCTCGCTATCATCCTTCACCAGATGATGTGCAGTGTTATGGAGGTTCGAGTGATCTCCTCTCTATATAACAGGTGTATAGTGGTAAGCTTGCACTGTCTTTGTGGTAACCAGCAATGTAGTGCCTTCCTCAGTGGAGGGAAGAGGCAGGTTGGAGTTGTAGTGATGCTGGTTCAATCCATCGGGCAAATCAGTTGTAGCTTCATCCGTATCTTCAGATTGCTCTGTGACATTCGAGCCTCTCTCACTGTCAGTCTTTTGTTCTTGACCTATCACTGTGTGACATTTCATTGACTTTATAAGAATTTGTTTCCCACACAATTAATGTCACTATAAAAACAATGACTGCTAGCTTAAGCATATTTAGACATACAAATCATATTAAATGAAATAATATATTTGTTGTAATAATGCCATACATAACATCAAGTACAGTAAACTAAAAATGTATGCTCTATGATTATGACACTTCTATTAAAGTGCTAACATTTGAAGCAATGTATTATAATTTGGACAAAACTGTCTACATTTTTCTATCAAAAGTCTTGCAGCAATATACCTTTGTTCATGATGGGCTTACAGGTTTTTCTGCGTATAACTCGCAGAATAATGGTCAGTGCTGTGAAAGCTCCCAGGAACACAAAAAACACGATCAAAATTAAACGGATATTTTGATTCTTTTCAACTTCATTTTCCGGGACTGAAAAGGACACAAATGAGGCACTGAATAAGAGACTGAAATCATAAAACATTGTGGACTTCATCATACAGTTCTACTCATAAGTGGCCATTCCTTTTGCAGAAATAACAAGAGTTTAAATTATTTTATTTAAATAATAGCATTTAAAAATGCTATTTAAAAAAAAAAAAAGAATAATTGCATCTGGTATTTTTTGTTGCACTGCCCTATAAAGAAACTCATGTACAGCTATTTTTATGCATTTATATTACCCATTTATTTCAGAAGACAAATTAGTTTATATCCTCAAGTGATTGTCTTGTAACACACACATATATATATATATATATATGAATATATGAATATATGAAGAGTTCAAATGCAAAAGCCTCTAAGTGCTTTCTGATATTTTCTTCTAAAATGAGCATTTTTCTCAGGATCCTATGTTTATGTTCAGTTGTTTCACCACTTTAATGGCAATGAAAAGAACCTATTCATTGCATCAAAGTGAAATTACTGAACCTACACATAGGAGTCTGATAAAAATACTCATTTTAGAAGAAAATTTCATCAAGAAAATTACATAAAATTATATATATATATACTGTATATAGAGAGAGAGAGAGAGAGAGAGAGAGAGAAAAATATTCTATTATATATTGAATGTTTAATATTATGTAGCTTCTTCAGGGCAGTAAAAAAAAAAATTTTAAATTTAAAATTCTAAACAACTTCTGCAAGGAGTATGTTGACTTACCATAACTGTAACCATTACATTTATACATAAAATGAGTAAATTCAATGTGCTTGTACAACTATCTTAGTTTTGAAAATAAAAATGAAATCAGATATAAAAACGATACTTACTTGAGGTGCAAAATGTTTTGCAAATAATTGGTGGGGAGTTGCATCTAATGGAGCAATGTTGACACTCCTCAAGAAGTCCATCGTAATAATAATTCTTTGCACATTTTCCCTCAGCATAAATAATAATGTAAAGCAGCAATATAAAGATAAGCATCTTCCACCGAGGTGCTAGGAGTCACTGAACTTACACAGCTGCCAACATTTTATTATGCCCCAGTATGTAAATATGTCTTAAGAAGGGGATGTCCCTGAGCCATCAACACTTTCGTCTTTCAACATTGGCATCAGTTTAAACTTGTCTCATGATAAAATGAGAGATTTTTTTTGTTTATCTATTTATGTAACTACATTGTAAAAAAAATAATAATAATGTTTTTACAGACAAAAATAGCCGCTTCCAGAATAATTCTGTCCATATTTACAAAACAACCCATACATTTTACAGTTTAAAACGATCATTTATTATTTTTTTAAATGACAATTTAAGCCTGTAAAGTCCATGCGCTACTAAAATCTGTTTTGTACCTTTAACATATACTGACAACCACCATAATAACACAGGTAGTAAAGAGAAAGCCACATGAAGAATCAAAGTTCATCACAAGTAGCCTTTCCACAAGCTGAGGTAAATAAATACTAATATGTAGAAGGTGTATAAATGCAAAACACCATATAACACACATGGACACTAAAATGATGCAATAAACATTAATTAAATAACATTAATTGTAACATAAAACCCTAATATACATGTATGATAACAAAAACCTAAACGAAATACCATCAAATGTGAAGTGTCACCATGGGGGAAACATGAAATATCACTGTTTTTCACTGTAAATTATAAGATGACTTGTTCTTTTTTTACTTCTGAAAATGTTACATTTAACAGTTTTACTGTAAACTAACATTATATTATAATTTGTAGGCCTACTCATATGTAGGTATCTTCCTGTTAACCAAAGTATTTTACAGTTAATTTTATCATCATTTTTTACAGTGTGTCAATAGTTTCAACTTTCAATAGTGACCTTTCAAATAAAATAAAAACGGACTAATAAATATGTTCTTAAATTATTTTAATTGCAAAAGTCTGTATACATAACAGATAATATATTCCTGATGCTGCTATATAAACATATAAAAGCAAGCACTGCTTATTAGATATAGTGGGACAACATAGTAAAAATAGCACAAAAATACAACATGAAAATAATAAAAATCAAATATATTTGACTAGCATATTATATTAAATAACACAAACATATTTTAGTTTAATTGGATTAAAAGTGGATTAAACAATATTTAAAAAAAAAATGTATATATGAACAATTATATATAAATGTAGCCGAAAACACTGATGATCCTAAAGATCTCTAAAGCACTTCTAAAGGCAAGTCATTTCTAGGCAGCATCGATGCAGATATGAAGAGGAGGGTCTCCCTGCAGAGCACTATGGGAATAGAGATGCAAATCAGAGCCTGACATTGAATGTCGAACAAAGTTTGCGGTGTGTGGTACAAAAGATAAGTCTTATTTGATTCTCTCTCCTGGCCAATAGGGGCCCACCTAAAGACCAGAATGCTATAAATGATTAACAAGCCCACACATTGCATGATCATTAAAATAAAAAGATCATGCTTATAGATAATGACATGGAAGATGACTGGTTTCAATGTATTATCAAACTATGTATTCATTTAAGACAGTTTTACCTGTATATTATATCACTAAAGGATCTCGGTTCAGATGGTTGGTTGTCCCAGGTGGTTGTGTATTCAGATAGGAGCTCATGGCAATAGTAACAGGTTGATCTGCTTTGGCCGTGCGGTTTGCCTGAGAGCCTTCAGCCTGAGTGTTGATTCTTCCACTTCTCCTGAAGGAATTCCTCAGTCCGTTGGAGAGACTGCTGGAGACTTTATGCATAACGCCTGAAATTCCTTTAGTGCGTTTGTATTGAGCAACGTTGTCCTCCAGCTCTTCAGGAGGCACTTCAATATTACCAGTGTACCAAAACACCCACCAGATGAGACTCAGGAAAATAATCACAGCTCCAGCGAAGATTAAAAAGTCATGGAAAAAGATGTCCCAAAACACACCAACCAGGAGGACAAAAAGTCCAAAAATGTCGTGAAAAACAGCAAACCAAAATGCACATTTACAACGACCAACTCCTGGATGCTTTTTCTCCATATCCAGTTTTTTATCGAATTGTATCACTAGACTGCAGCTTGTCCGCCCAGAAGACTACAGTGCTAAAAGTACACATTGCGAGAAACATGACGTACACCTGTACAGATGATGTTCAAAGTACACTGAAGTGAATAAACCTTGATGTTGAGCAGTAAAGTAATGCTTTTATCAGAAAACTTTATCAGGATCCCAATCCTGAAGATAAATGACTATCAAAACACACTACACGTGAGTCAAAATGACAACAATCATACATCAAGTAAAAATAAAAATGTTAACACTAGTAATATTTACATAAAGGTATCCCATGTGACATTGTTGGCTACTGTTTTATCTAATTCTAGATCATCCGCCTTTTGTGTTTTACATTTTCTTTTATGATCAATGTCCAGACCACACCGAACACAGCAAACATCAGCCCAAGTGAAAGACACAATGGGCCCATTTCATCATCCACAGCCATTGTGTCTGTAGAATTACTAGTAAGTAATCCACTAGAATTGAGGATTATCACAAAACCAGCAGCTAATGCTAGCCCACCAGCGATCAAGATGAAGATGGGTTTGTGGTAGTAAGTCCAACAACTAGGGTCTCTGGGTACGGGGTCCCGAACTGGAGTTGAAACCGTCTGCTGAGTCACATCTTCACTTAAATCACACTGATCCATAGTATGCATCCTGACGAATCTAAACTTGCACAAAAAAAATGAAAAATACATGTCAACTCACTTTGACAGATGTGTATCTGGTCTGCAAAAATCTAAATTGCTTTCTGAATGGGATAGTTCATCCAAAAATGAAAATTCTGTCATGTATTTACCTCATGTTGTCTCAAAAATGCGATTTAATTTTTTTGGGCAACTATTCCTTTAACAACATCATTATCTAAGCACTGTCCTTGGGACTAATTGGTAGCATCAGAAATTAGTTTTTTTTTTTACTTGCCTTCTGTTTGGTCTCTGAGAACACTGTTGATTTCGTTGGGATCAGCCGAAGATGTACATCCAGGAAGCTTAATACTGTCAGAAAGAGAGAATGATCAAGCTTGTCTCAAAAGATGAGTCTAAATAGGAGGTCTTTCAAAAGATCTTTAAAACAACTAAACAAAAGGATGACCATTATAAATCCAAATGGAAGAACTCAAACCAAACCCATGTAACGTATACCAGGAACAACAGCACAAACAGAAGAGCAGCTGGTCCAACACATTATCCAGCTCATCAAATACATGTAATATAATATATCTGCAAGCACCAAAGGTACAGTAAGCGCAATGCAGAGCCGGAAGAAGAGAAAGAGGAGAAACAGAATGTACATGAATGATAGATATGGTTCAGAAGTTTAAAAAAAAAAGTATCCACGGATTCAGCATGAAACAAGGAATCCATAGACACATAGAATTTGGATTTGCTGGCAAAACTGTTCAAAAGTTATAACCAAAAAAAAAAAAAGGAAAAAAAAGCAATTTTTCAGATCTCATGACCTGTAGCACACTCTTCCCAAATTTGGTATGAACCCTGCTGACAAACACTACCAAGTTTCATTTCAATAGATCAAAGTATTTCTGAGATACAGCCTCTGATCCAAATTTTGGTTGACATCATTAAATTTGCATCATCTTAACTTTTAAAAAAAATAACATTCTGTTCAGTGAATTCTGTGCAGTTCATTCCAGTGATCATCTGATCCAACTTGGTAAAAACTGCACAAAATGTGAAGACTGCCAGAAAAAAACTTTTTAATGTGGCGACTACTGTAATGGGCAGAGACTTCGTGCAAGTTATCATTCCATGATTCATGGATTGTGATCACCATAAGGAAAGTAACGTCAGCCTCATACGTCATGCCCACGGACCACTGCTTTCTGCCATCAGTCTGAAGATCTGGCTATGTGAGAGTAATCTGGTGAACTATTTCTTTTTTTTTCTGAACTGGTGATGGCACTAGAGTTGGTTTCATTCTTTTCCTACTAAAAGTTCATATGGCTGCCATAGACTCCCATTGGGGAAGAAGAAAAAGAAAATCAACCAAAGTCTTGTTTCATTTAAATAAATTCACCAAAAAAGCGGTTGGTTGCAGAAAATTCTCAAGACTAGTCAGATTTACAATTCTTTTAATTCACTATTCACATGGATCAGAACAAATGCTCAAATGAACCTCATAAACAATGTGTAATACAAATTTCTGCTCCATACATATCCATATAAACTGTTAGCAGGATGAGAAAGCTGCACATTAATTGCATTTACAATTTTATTTGTTTTTAGCTTTTCTCTTCAGACCACGTGCTGTGACCTTTGGTGTTTTCTTGGCCAGTTTTGTGTCTTTTACGGTTTTCTTTAGTCCTTTGCCAGCAGCAGGCTTTGGTACTTTTTTCAGTCCTTGTTTAGATATGGTCTGCAAAAACAAAAAAATTTCATTTAAAATAAAAACATAAATCATCACACATACAACACCATTATGACATTAACACATCAATGCAGTGTAAATATCGGTTTTATTATCGGTCCCTTGTTAGATAGACAGACGCTGACCTCCTGTTTTGGCTTTTTGGTTGGCATCTCGATTGGCACCAGCTGTGGTATTTCCTCTTCTTTACTGTCTTTCTCTTCCTCGGTTTCTTTCGTTTTCAGATCTGACACTTCTCTATTCTTATTTTCTCTCTTCCTCTTTTTTGCTCCCTAAAAATTAAATGGGTAAAATTAATGACTTCTCATTTTACAAAAAAAACTATTTTTGGCCACATATCGGTTTTGCATTTGTTAAGCAACTTCACCTTTGTTGAACGGGCTTTCTTCCGGGCCTCCTCCACCACTGCAAGATGACTCAGGTCAGAGGTGTAGATGGGCAGCGCAACTGAGGTCTGACTCTTCAAATGGATGATTTTTATGTTTTTTCCTGTCTGAGAGTGAAACAGAGTATAGGTTGTAGGTCAAAACTTGAGGAACAGAACCATACATCATCCCGTTAAAAACACAAGAATAGGCAAAGAAAATAATAGTAAATGATACTGCGAAAAGAAAGAGCTGGTTACGTACACAAAACTCTTACTCACCATTGCTAACTTTGCTGAGATGGTGGAAACCGCTGTCATCACATTCTCAACCATCTCATCTGCTGTCATGCCTGAATGTGCTACACGTACCATGCTGTAATGATAAACCACACAATCAGGTCAAAGCATTTAAAACAAAAGAAAAAAACTCATGTATCATAGTTTGTAGGGACAAGTTCCAGCAGATGAGGATACCCGTCTGGATACACTATGAGTTATTATTGCACAGTTTTAACCCACTTCCAGCTGTGACGGAGCAGGAAATGGTTTGCTGTAGTGCTTCAACCTACTGTAGTGTACCACAAAAAAAGAAACAATGTTCATACCAACAAGAGCCTTTATTTGAGACAGTGAGACTGGTGCCCTGAATGAGGCGCGCCATGTCTCTGACTAGATGTTTACTCTCTAGATCCACCGACAGAGGAGCCCTGAGAGAGAGAGAAAACTTTAATCAATGTCACAATGACAGACAACCCTGATAGATACAGAAAATCTGCACAAATGATCTACTAAACGCTTTCAGTGATTAGTTTAAGAGCACATTTTCTGCCAGGCTAAAGATGTGGTCGCGTCAAAATTTCACAGGCATAAAAAAAAGACCATTGTCTATTGTCAACATCTGTTTTTTGTGTATGTGTGTGTATTTAGAGTTAGAAACAAACTTACTTTTTCCTTTCATAGAAATGCTTCCCAATGTGAGAGGGTAACCTGCGTCGGATGCGTGCGTCTGACAGAAACAAATCAAAGTTGCCCAGCAGTCTCCTTTTGGCTTCAAAGGGCTTATACTCAGTTTTCAACATGTTGAAGGGAATCACCTAACAACACAAAAATTGTTGTAAACATTTAAGATGACGCCATATTTCATAATGCATATTGTCACATAAAATGGACCTGCTTGGGAAGTCGCGATTGTTTCAAAGTTTGTAGAGACAAGCTCCAATAGAGGAGGAGACTCGTCTGGATACACTCTGAATTACTCTAGCACTTTTTAACCCATGACCAGCACTAGAGATAGAAGGAAAGGGTTTGCTGAAGCGCATATAAATCTAGTAAACTTGTAACAATTAGACAGATGAAATACCTCTATGGCATTTTTGAGCCCTCTCTCTGTGAGTAACTTCTTGTAGAATCTCACTGTCTGTTCTGAGGTCATTCTGGGTTCATCTCTGGTGAAGAGACACACGTCTCCTGATTCAGTCCTCAGCCCATGGGGTAAAGAACTGTAAGGCAAAACACACTTGGTAAGAACAATATCATACTTAATTATCTTAAGTTTCTCTAAATCAATGATTCTATATTTATTTCCATTGAAATACTTACATGCGAATGGTTTGCTCCTTTCTAGGGATTTTCCATTGAGTTAACAGTAGAGAGATGGCCTGACCATCATTCTCGAAGAGCTTTTGGGACAAGGAGCTGCTCTTTAGACATGCCTGTAATGCCTGTACAGCTTTAGTTACCTGTAATACATGTAATTAACTCAATTAATGTCTTTCAAACTGTAGTAGCTCTAATACCCAAAGTCAGTAACAGCCATAGGACATTTTACAAAGACAGTAACCAAAATTTACTGTTTAACTAGTGCAACTGCATGAGGCACATACATTTAATAAATAATAAAAGCAAAGATAACATCTATATGTTTTATATCTAAACTACTTCGAGACTTGGGTGCTTGCTTGGCTACAGCCGTTAGCCAACTTGCAGTCTAAGTTAGTTTGTTACTAGATTTTTACAAGGTTCCCACCAAAACGTAAATATACAAGCATATAACAAACTTATGACAATTTAACAAATATGTAGGGGGGAAACTATCAAATATTTCTGGTTTACCTGAGACCGATCGAGATCCAATTCATCTCGTGGAGACTCCATGCTGCACGTGTGTAGAGAAAGCAGAAAGGCGCATCCGTATTTCCGAAGTAAACGTCACAAGGACTTTTATTTTGAAGAAATATTATGAGGAACTGAATGCTTCATGTGTTAGGTAACGTTATTTCATTTTCCTGCAGCACAACATAGCGTTTAAATGTGTAACTTCCTTCTGTTTTTGAATCCGTACCTATTTAAAAATATATATTTATAAAAAAATATATAAAAAATATATATTTATTATTATACCTTTATTGTTATATTTTTTAATATTCATAACATATTTATTATAATGGTATCATAAATATAAAATGATTATGTATTATTTATTCAAATGATTAGAGACCAACGTTTTCATTTCTTGCGGACGTTTATAAATATACAAATATATCAAAATCAAATGGTAAGTGCAGGCAACTTAATAAATTAAATTATATACCATAATTAATAAAACAGTGTTGCACTATTTTCTGCTTTAATCGTGCCCATTTGGCCTTCCAGTTAGAATTATTGGTAACACTTTAGAATAATGGTCCGTTGTTAAAGGGGTCATATGATGCAATTTCACATTTTCCTTTCTCTTTGGAGTGTTACAAGCTCTTGGTGCATAAAGAAGATCTGTAAAGTTGCAAAGACTAAATTCTCAAATCCAAAGAGATATTCTTTATAAAAGTTAAGAGTCAACCACGCCTACCTAAAACGGTAATTTATGAATTTGATATCCCCCAAATAAGTTGGCTGCATTTTATTGTTATTAAATTATGACTACTACTCTTACCAAAGGATGGATGTTCTCTGTTTATTTCAAACATAAACATAGAATAATAATAAAAATGATAATTCACTTAAAAATTTTAATAATTAGGAAGTGATGCTGACAAGCTCATGATTGAATTAGTTCACAATTATGAGCACTGTTTCGTGTCAGTTCAATATGTATCCCACTCCAAAAGACCTACTGGTAAAATATCACTAGTGCTTCACACAAATGTATGACTGTACAGTATGTGAGATTTAAAATATGTTAAATAATTTATTAATTTACTTGTGAGTAATTACTGAGGGGTTAACGTGTTTTTCACTTTAAAATAATGGTCCAGATCACTAGTAGTTCCTTAGTGTCAGATATAAAATATGTTAAATAACTTATTAAATTACTTAGTAATTACTGAGTTGTTAAGGTGTTTTTCACTTTAAAATAATGGTCCAGATCACTAGTAGTTCCTTAGTAGCACTTTAGCTTTAAAGTGACAAATGCTTTAGCCTCTCACTAATTACTCAAGCGTTACCTTGTCAGCCTGCAGGAACTAGAGGCGGACAAATACAGATACGGCTTGTCAAATATTACTCCATTACAAGTAAAAGTTGTAAAGACAGACATCCCTCCCAGCTCCAACAACAGCAATAGGCGCGAGGCACTAATGGCGCTTTTCCACTGCATGGTACGGCACGGTACGGCTCGGGTCGGATCACTTTTGGGGGGTTTTCCACTGGGTACAGTGTACCTGGTACCTGGTACTTTTTTTAGTACCACCTCGGTTGGGGTTCCAAGTGAACCGTACCGTTACCAAAACGTGACGTGTAAACTGTGCTTTAACCACTCAGTAATTACTAAGTAATTTAATACGTTCTAGAGTGAGCCACATTTGAATACAGGCTTTTTAACATTTTGGAACTGGAAGAAGTGCCTTGGATCCGTAGTTTCTATAAATATAATTTAATTGTTCACTTTTAAGACGTTACTGTTGTGATTAGTAATTAATTGGTAATTCTTTATTAACTAGACATAGTTCGCAAGTAGTTCTCAATGAGGATATTTTTTTTAGTAATTATCAAATATCTAATAAGGAACTACCTTTGTCCTAAATTTGCTACTACTTACTGCTTAGTTAATCTTGCTCCTCTATTAGTTAATAGTATTAAGTTAAGTGTTAATGTAGTACTACCTATTACTTCCTGCATAGTTACTTGTTAACAACGGACCATTATTCTAAAGTGTTACCGAATTACTAAACTGCAATGTATGTTCCAGGACATTGAACACAAATGTTCTCCATTTTCATTTGAAGTCATTTTAGCGTTTTATTTTTTTGGAAGTTTGATGTTTACATCCCAACAGGAGAGTACTGAATTTACACCAGCTGATGCGACTAATTATTTTTTTTAATCACATGGGTGCATTTGTCATGTAATGACATCACAGTAAACAAATTCATCTGTTTATCTTGTGCATGATTACATCTCTACACAAGTGTCATTTTATTTGAAAGACCAAGGCCTCTTGTACGACCTGATCTCGACAATCACGACACTTGCAGGACTTGCCAGGTAAAGAGCAAGGGTACTGGCAAGCTTACTTTCAAACAGATGACACCAAGACTCCCTCTCTCATATTTTAACATAAACTTAAAAAGCCAATACCTTAAAAGAAAACTGCATCCATTTTTAGATTGAATATGTACCAGTGGAGAGAAACTGGCTTTAAAAATTGGGCTACATGAGTGGCATAGCTGAGCTCTCAATATGAGAAAGCTGTCACACTGAGCATGTCTTTCTATATTAATGTTCTTCCTAAAATTGATACTGTCACTTTGTTAATGTCCTTTTTCCAAAGTAATTTTCTTAGACTGATCCACAGTGGGAAGATGGAGCAGTTTGGAGGACATCTGGCAGGCACACATCACTGCATCCTCCTCAATCCCAGAGTGCACCAGGGAACTCCTTCTATCTGCATTTTAGTCCTTATCAGGTACCAACTTCAGCACCTTGCCAATTGCGATTGTCTTTCCTAAAAGATAACATAAAACATCTTTAATTTTAGTATTTAGATAGAACATTATATCCGTCATTGGGATAAAAACAGCTGAAAATGTGATGTTTGATCTGTCACGTTAGATTTTCTTAATATCTTACCCTCATCTCTCAAGGTGAAACGTCCCATTTGAGGGAAGTCTTTAAAAGTCTCTAAGCAGATAGTTCCTGCGGCCCTAAGACGGGCGATGCATACTTGGTCTTGTTTGACGAAGCGTGGACGAGTCTTGCTCTTTTCTCCTGTCTTCTTGTCCACCAGACAGATTAACGCCTAATTGTGGAGGTTTTTAGGAACATATTTTAGGCTACCAAACCATAGAGCTCTGTTTTTTTTTTTTTTACACCTTTTACATCTGAATGCACTCAGAATGACTTACTGTTATCTGCACTTCTTCTATGCAGGTATGGATGTGTAGTACTGCATTGTAACCTGGGCATATTATGGATTTGTGTTCAATAATGACAATCTGTGGACAAGAACAAAGAAAAAGTGTCAAAATAAAATAACTAAACAAAATATTCTCCCTGTCAGTGTTGAAATCCTTACCTGGGCATCAAAAGTGCGTCCTGAGTGGCAGAGGTTCTCAGCGTTGCATAGGATAAAGCCTGGGAGAATCTCTTCCTCCTCAATGCCTTTGAGCCGGAGCTTCAGGTTTTCACCAGGTCCAGCGTAATCCGTCTCCACATCATCAGAGAGAAGGCTCAACACTTCCACTGTGTGCTGGGAAACCAGAACAAACAATGTTTTAGACATTTTGAGATAATGGCTAAGATTCATAATGGTTGCGATAACAACAAATTGTACTGTTTTGTACAGTCTTACCCTATTTGGCATCATAATAAGTTGTTGTGCTTTCGCGATACTTCCAGACTCCAGTTTTCCAAGCACCACGGTGCCCATGTCCTACACAAAAGATTATAAAGGAGCATTATGGACTCTTATTTGCTGATATTAGAGTTCTTTTTTTATTATTACTTTATCAGTTTTGGACAATATTATTAAATATTTAATTTTTGCCACCTTTGCCATCATTTAACGCTCACTTAAAGTTAATCATAAAAAACACCAATAATCTTTAGCAAATGTCAATGTGAATATACATTTTTTACTATAAATGCATTCACTTGTAGGACATTTTTTTTCCATTTAGAAAACTAGTATAGCAATTTTAATGCCAGCTATAACATGGAAACAAATATATCATGAGAGAATGTAACTATTTTACATTTTGAATTTGTATGATTTACTTTGTAAAAAAAAAAAAAAGCTTACAAATTTTAGGAACAAGTAGGCATGAAGGTTCATCCCTAAATCAAACCACCAATAAGGAATAAGCACATTGTACAAAAAAAGCTACGTTCTCTTTTACATTTTCATTTATAAAAATGTAATGTACTTTTAGAACTCTAACCTTCTTACCTTGGTATTAAATCACAGAAAGTTCTTTTACTATTGGGGCAGAAATTATATATTTTGTAGTTTGAGTTCACCATTATAGAAGATTACCCATCCATGACGACTTTGAAATGTCAAACAGTTACAAACTACCACAAGAGTGTGTTGGTTTATCAGACAGTATTTTTAATGTCGGTTCATATTCATTTTAACACTGGTATATTTTAACATTGGTACTTTTTTATCAAAGATAAGAAAAAACTAAATCTTTTTGGGTGCCAAAAGCGTATTTGAAGATCTTTCTATCCAATTACTGACACTTAAATCTGATGGTAACCCTCAGCTCTAGCAAGGCAACTAAGTAAGGCTTTAATTAACTTAATGAACTTAATCTCATTACATGTGCTGAACACAGGACCTAGTTTAGCTTATTGGTTTCATAATACCTCGCACATTTAGTCTCAATGGGAAGAGAACCACTGAGAAAACAATTTCCTCCTTCCATTATACTAGAAAGTTTCCAGCCAAAACACTCCCTCATGCTGTGGTATTAAAATAACTGGAAATCATCAGCAGAAACTGAGACAATAGCAGTATTTGGACACTCTTGATAGACACTCAGCATAATATTTCAGAGCAACAGATGCGGTTTTGAGGAGCATGTTGCTTATGCAAATGTACTTAGTGATATTGCATATAGCTCTTCTAATATCTGTCAGCATTGCAAAGTCATTAAACCTGACATCAAATATCAAGGTATCAATACCATATTTAATTTACCTTGTATTTATCCACAATAGGCAATCGGATGGGACCATCACTGGATCTGTTGAAGTTTGGCAGGC